CCAGCCTTGCATCCCTGGAATGAATCCCACTGGGTCATGGTGAATAATTTTTTTTGATGTATTGCTGGACCGATTTGCTAGTATTTTGTTCAGGATTTTTGCGTCTATGTTCATTAAGGATATTGGCCTGTAGTTTTTTTTCTTTGTAGTGTCTTTTTCTGGTTTTGGAATTAGAATTATGGTGGCCTCATAGAACGTGTTTGGACGTCTTCCTTCTTCTTGAATTTTATGAAATAGTTTGAGGAGAATGGGTGTTAGTTCTTTTTCTGAATCTTCAGTAAACTCCCCCGTAAAGCCATCTGGGCCTGGGCTTTTGTTTGCTGGGGGTGTCTTGATTACCTCTTCAATTTCCTTAGTTGCTATTGGTCTGTTCAAGTTTCTCTCTCTTCCCGATCCAGTTTTGGGAGACGGTGTGTTTCTAGAAATTTGTCCATTTCGCTTAGATTGTCAAATTTGTTGCCATATAGTTGTTCATAGTAGCTGTTAATGATCTTTTGTATTTCTGTGGTGTCGGTTGTTACTTCTCTTTCATATTTGATTTTGTGTATTTGGGTTCTCTCTCTTTGTTTCTTGGTGAGTCTGGCTAAGGGTCCATCGATCTTGTTTATCTTCTGGAAAAACCAGCTCTTTGTTTCATTGATCCTTTGAATTATATTTTTGGTTTCTATGTCATTTATTTCTGCTCTGATCTTTACTATTGCCTTCCTTCTACTTGCTCTGGGGTTTTCTTTTTGTTTGCTTTCTAATTCTTTAAGTTTTGAGGTTAGACAGTCAATTAGAAATTTTTCTTATTTCTTGAGGTATACCTGTAGTACTATGAACTTCCCTCTCATGACTGCTTTCGCTGCATCCCATAGATTTTGTGTTGTTGTGTGTTCATTTTCATTGGTTTCCAGGAAGTTTTTAATTTGTTTTTTGATCTCGGTAACCCATTCATTGTTTAATAACATGCTATTTAGCCTCCATGTGTTGAAATGTCTTTGCATGTTCTTGTTGCAATTGATTTTTAGTTTCATTCCATTGTGATCTGAGAAGACGCTTGATATGATTTCAATCTTCTTGAACTTGTAGAGATTTAGTTTGTGTCCTATCATGTGGTCTGTCTTTGAGAATGTCCCATGTGCACTTGAGAAGAATGTGTATTCTGTAGTTTTGGGGTGTAATTCTCTGTAGATATCTATTAAATCCATTTGGTCTAGTGCTTCATTTAGAGTCTCTGTTTCCTTGCTAATTTTTTGCCTAGAGGATCTATCCAGTGCTGTCAACGGGGTGTTGATGTCCCCTGCTATGATTGTATTGCTGTCGATTTCTCCTTGGAAGTCCTCCAGAAGATTTTTAATATATTTTGGTGCTCCTTTATTGGGTACATATATGTTTATCAAGGTTATATCTTCCTGTTGGATAGATCCTTTCAATATTATGTAGTGGCCTTCTTTGTCTCTAGTTATGGTCTTCATTTTGAAATCTGTTTTATCAGATATGAGTATTGCTAACCCAGCTTTTTTTTGCTTTCCATTTGCTTGGAAAACTTTTTTCCATCCCTTCACTTTCAATCTATGTGAGTCTTTTGTTGTGAGGTGGGTCTTTGTAAACAACATATAGATGAGTCATGCTTTCTTATCCAATCAGCTACTCTGTGTCTTTTTATGGGAGCATTCAATTCATTTACATTTAAGGTGATTATTGATATGTACTTATTTATTGCCATTTTTGTTTAGTGTGGTTCTATTTTTCTTCCCATTTCTCCTGCCAATTACAGCAGTTCTTTTAACATTTCTTGCAGTGCTAATGTATTGGTGCTAATGTATTCCCTTAGCCTTTTTTTTTGTCTGGGAAGTTCTTTATTTGGCCTTCTATTTTGAATGATAGCCTTGCTGGGTAGAGTAGTCTTGGATTCAGATCCTTGTTTTTCATGACCTTGATTACTTCATGCCATTCCCTTCTGGCCTGTAGTGTTTCTTGTGAGAAGTCAGCTGAGAGCCTTATGTGGTTTCCTTTGTAGGTAACCTGTTGCTTATCTCTTCCTGCTTTTAGGATTCTCTGTTTGTCTTTAATTTTTGGCATTTTAATTACTATGTGTCTTGGTATGGGCCTGTTTGGGTTCTTCTTACTTGGGACTCTCTTTGCTTCTTGAACTTAAATGCCTTCTTCCTTCACCAAATTAGGGAAGTTTTCTGTCACTAATTTTTTGAATATATTCTCTATCCCTTGCTCATTTTCTTCTTCTTCGGGGACTCCTATGATGTGAATATTATTACGTTTCTAGTTGTCCCACAATTCTCTTAAGCTGTCTTCCTGTTTTTTTAATCTTTTTTTCCTTTTGGTTTTCTGATTGGTTGATTTTTTTCTACCCTGTCTTCTAATTCACTGATCCGGTCCTCAGCTTCCTCAACTCTGCTTTTTAAACCTTCCAATGTGTTTTTCATTTCTGATATGTCATTTTTTATCTCTTCTTGATGGTTTTTAATTTCCAATTAGCTTATTTTCAGCATCTCTATATCCTTACTCATGCTGTTGAACTTCCTCAAGATCATGGCTCTGAATTCTAGCTCTGTTAACATGCCTAACTGCTCCACATTGATCTCATCTTCGGTGGAGGTCTCTTGCTCTTTAATTTGGCTTCTCTTTCTGTGTTTCACTCTTTTGGCTATCACAGTGGGCTTTGGAGCGTGTCAAGTTTTCCCTGTGGGTATTGGTGTTCTGCTGTTTGTGGCTCCCTCTACTGGATTTAGATGAGCGAGGGAGGACCCACGTTAAACACCACTGTCAAGTCTTACTTTCCTGGTTAAAGTTGCTAGCCCTGGAAAGGTACTGTTATCCTCCACCTTTTTGCCTGGAGGCTAGCAGTCGAGGTTACTTGATGAGTTTTGGGTTGTCAGTTGATTGAAAAACTCCCTCAAGCACTCAGTATAAGGGGATTTCACGAGGGTGGGGAAGATGCTGGTTGTTAATGATCTTTAATTAGCACTTCAGTGGCCCACAGGGTGGGGTAGGATCTCAGAGGGAGGGGCTGCTGCCTCTCCTCAGAGCCCTGGGAAGGAGCAGTATGGACATCGTCCTGTGTGGCAGCAAGTCAGCAAAAGCTCTGAGTGCCCTCCAAATCCGGAGTGTCCCGACACAATTCTAGTCCAGTCTGCCCTCCCTCTGCTGGAGCCCAAGGTGAGTTGCTGTGGCTGTTTTAGCCTCTGTCCCGGCTCTGCGCTGTGGGGCCACCTGGGAGTGTAACCCGTGGGCACTGCTCCCAGCTAAGACCGCTTCCAAGCTGCCGACCGTGGGCTCCCAGCCCCCATCTTGCACCTTCGCAAGCCTACCGGGATGGAGTCAGTGTCTCTCGTTGTATGGTCCTCGCAAGCTGCTTTTCTGTTGGTTTTTCCCATCGATTTGTCTGTGTAATAGCTGTAATTCCAGTTTGCTTCTGGGAGATGGTCTGTGTAGCTTCCCTTCACTCCACCGCCATTTTTGAATCTGTGTAAACAAAGTTTTATTTATTTAGAGAAATGTATATGGCACTGTGTTAAAAACAAGATTATTAACTCAGACCTTGAGGGTTTAAATGTGGCTAAGAATTTGCTTTCTTTAGGTTATAATTTTGATTTAGGATTATGGAATACTAAAAGAAAAAGAATAATTCTGTTAATTCGCAGATTTTAGATTAGAAAGATCGATTAGTTTTGCAGAGATGTGAAACCATATATTGTCTATTTTTGTATCTTTGACGTGGATTCTCCCCGACTGTGGTAAGTCTCAAATAATTGTTCCTCAATTGAATTTTGAAGACCTATAGTGAAGACCATTCCTCTGTTACCTTTTTCAGTATTTATAAGTTAGAAAGTCTAATAACAAATTACTTTTTTTTCCAGTAGTATCCATATGCCCATTTGTCGAATCCCACCATGTAATGTCTCTGCTATTCAAGCAATATGCTGTGCTGGAAAAACCATTTAGAACTAATGGTATTTATTAAGAAAAGAGAATGATTGTAGCTAGAAATCCAGAGAATGCCTGTATATAAGACATAAGCAGCAAAGATGAGCAGAGAGAAAGATGAGAAAGCATTTTTAGGAAGGGAGGAAGACAAGTTAGTTGGTATGTGTGAGATAAGAACTTGTGAAAGCCAAAATAGAAGAGTAGTAGGAAGAATTGAGTCAGCAGAATCAAATGCCAGAGAGAAACAGTTTTAGAATGAAGATGGGAAAATTCTGTTGCATTAGCAAATAGTGACCTTAGTGACAAATTAGAATGGTGTGAGCAGAAACAATATATCAGTGTGTTGAAAAACAGAGGAGCCCGACTCGTGTTGCTCAGCGGATTGAACATCGTCCCATTGACTGAGAGGTCCTGGTTTGATTACCAGTCAAGGTACATCCCCTGGTTGCGGGCTCAATGCCCAGTAGGGATCATGTAGGGGACAACCTATCCATGTTTCTTTCTCACATTCGATGTTTCTATCTCTCCTTCCCTCTCTCTCTAAAAAAATCAATAAAAACATATTACAAACAAAAAACAAACAGAAGACTGAAGTGTGAATTCTCAGAGTCCCTTAATTCCTTTCCTGGTACTCTGCATAGTCTCTGATTACTGCTTTTGAAGCATTTGTACTTGAAGATGTTAAATATGAACCATTCATAGCTTATTGCATAATTGCCAGAAATCAATTTTTTATCTTAATGTAATAATTTGTATATAAAAAAAATTAAGCACAGCTGGTGTTGCTCAATGGTTGAGCATCAACCAATGCACTAAGAAGTTACCAGTTCGATTACCGGTCAGGGCACATGCCCAGGTCGGGGCCAGATCCCCAGTGCGGGGCATGCAGGAGGAAAGCAATCAATGTTCTCTCTCATTGATGTTTCTATCTCTCTATTCTTCTCCCTTCTTCTCTCTTTAACATCAATAAAGAAAGAAATTAAAAAAAAAATTAAGCTTCTTAAACAATTAAAGTACACCTAAATGCAAACTTCTAATACAGTGCTAATTTTATTTCTTTATGTTTTTAAAAGTCTTGGCTACTTATGATTCAGCAGACGGAACAACTTAGTAGGATAATGAAGACGCATGCAGAGGACCTAAACTCTGGACCCTTACACCGGCTCACCATGATGATCAAAGACAAGCAGCAGGTGAAGAAAAGTTATATAGGTGTTCACCAGCAGATAGAGGCAGAGATGATCAAGGTTTGTCTTTCCATTCTTGAATTTTTCTTTAACCGATTTTTAAACTCACTGAAATATTTTATCCTTTTGACTTTTAAAAATTGTCTTCTTCATATTTTCTGACAAGAAATGTTTTGGTGTCTCTAATAAGTAGTATCTTGTTTTTATTGAATATAAGACATTATTGATTATAAGATATACTCCTACAAAAGAAATAAAAACTGCCAATTGAACTATGATACAATGCTTTTTTATCACTTAGAATTTTAAATTTTTTACTAATTAAAAGTTCTTTAGGCTTTAAAAATTTTGTATTATGTAACACTGTGCATAAAATACAAATGAAAACATAAGCAAGATAAAATAGGATATTTCTAAATTTTCTCCACATTCAGAATGTGTCTTTTCTGGATAACTTTTATGATGTTTCTAATTATGAAAATTTTGTAAATGACAAAAGAGCAGAGAATAGTAAAGTGAACTACCATCTACCTTTTTTCTTTTTTTTTAATCCTCACCTGAGGACACTTTTTGCATTCATAAAGCAAGAGGGAGAAAGAGAGAGAGAGAGAGAAACATTGATGTGAGAGAGACACATTGAGTGTTTACCACCCACACAACCCCAACCGGGGCCAGTGACAAACTGCGACTGAGGTACGTGCCCTTAGTGGGAACTGAACCTGTGTCTCTCTAGACCGCGGGCTGACACTCTAACTGCTGAGCCAAACTAGCCAGGGCTCATCTACCCTTTCACCCACATAGTAAATGTTTTATTTTTATTTTTTTATTTATACTCTCACCCACTTTTTCTTCTGGAAAATTCCAGATATCATTTTGTTCATATGTATTTTAATATATATTGCTAAAATATATACTCTTTTGTAATAAAACATAATGATGATTAATTTACCTAAAAATAACAATAATTCTTAATGTTATTAAATATCCTGACTGTGTTCAAATGATTGTTGTTTAAATGCTTTTTACAGTTGGTTCATTTGAATCAGGATCCATATATGGCCCACATGTTACATTTGAATAATTCTCTTTAATGTAGGTTGCTTTCCTCCCTCTTTAAAATGCTATTAATTTTTGGAAGAAACTGGGTAATTTGCTCTATAGAATTGAAATTCTTTATTTTGGATTTCGTTGTTAGCTTTTTGTGATGTGATTCTACATATTCCTTCATCCTCCAGTTTTCTTGTAAACTGGAAATTAGATCTAGAGGCTTGATAAGATTTTTGCTATTTTTGTTTTTGGCAAGTATAGGTGCTGGTATAGGCTTCCTCTTGTTTTATACAGGGAGGTATTTAATGTCTGTATGTACTTGTTTATCTTTTGTGATGTTAAATTTGACTAAGAGGTTCCAGTTTTGCCAGCCCGGTCAATCTGTTAACAAAGTTTCCCTTCAGCTTTTCACCTAATAGTTTTAGAAATAATGAATGTTCACTGCTTAATCTGTTATTGTAAAATGGCCTGATTTTTCTTCTACCATTTCTAATGCACTTGTTAGCTGGGATTTTTAATAAAGAATTTACCTAGATTTACCATTTGGTTACCCTGAGGCATAGTTTATTTAGGGAAGGCAGGGTAAATGCTTGCCTTTTAATATTAATTTTCCAGTTTGACAACTAATGAATAGGTTCTTAGGTAACTTCAAAAGTTAAGACTTCCAGTTTCTGGTTTAGCATGTAGGTAGTTTGGAAGTTAGTACTTCATTCAAACAACAAATAAAAGGCTGAAAAAATTGAAACATGAAGAACTCTTCTTAAGTTTACAAGAGAAGTAAAGTCCCAGGTCAAACAACTGCCACCAAAATTAGAGAGACTGACAAGCCAATATAGCGAATCAGAACTTATCAGAGCAGCAACCTCCTTGGGAACCAGTGCTGGGTGCAGAAAATCCTGAACTGTAGTTGACAACTTCTGGAGGCTCAGTGTGGACAATTCTGATAGTTAAAAACTTCAGGAGGACCCAGACATTGAGAGACCCCCACACTTTTGTGAGTTTTACCTCCTGGATCTCTCTGAGGTTCTCACAGTGAATATTGGAGAAGTCTCATGGTCCTGGCTGGGGGAGGGGAAAAGAAACCATTTTGCCATATGCCAGAGTATTCTGGTCTTCTTAACAAGGTCTGCCTTCAGGAGAAACTGTTTAACAAGAGCCTAACAACCTGGTAGAAGGGAAATACGCAACTCTGGCCCACTCTAGCCATCCTGTTCCATGTAAGGGGATTGGGGACTAAGAAGCACATGTAATGTTTACTGTCCAGAGACAAAGGCTTAGTAAAAGACTGAGAACCAATCACAAGACTATAAAATGCTTCCCCTACCCTGACAATTTATCACCACATTAGTAAAGGCATATTTACATCAGTTCCTTTTACCAAAACAACATGCCTGTCAAACAAGAAAAAATGGTAAGGCCTACCAAAGGCAAAAAAACCCCCAAAAAACAAACAAAAAAAAAACCAATGAAGAGACAGAGCAAGTATCAAAACCAGATATGGTAGGGATGTTAGAATTATTACACTGGGAGTTTAAAACAGCTATCTTTTTGTTTTATAAATTAAGGGCTCTAATGGGTAAAGTAGATAGAATGCAACAACAGACAGGCAGTGTAAGCAGAGAGATGAAAATCCTAAAAAAGAAGCAAAAGGAAATGTTAGAGATTGAAAAAACACTGTAATAAATGTGAAGAATGCCTATGATGGTTTTATTAGGAAACTGTACACAACTAAGGAAATAATCTCTGCACTTGAAAATATATCAGTAGAAATCTCCAAAACTGAAAAGCAAAGAGGATAAAGTCTGAAAATATATGAACAGCATGTTTAAGAACTGTAGGACAACTATAAAAGTTGTAATACATGTAATAGAAATACTGGCAGGAAAAGAAAGAGAAAGGAAAGTAAGAAATATTTGAAACAATAATGACTGAGAAGTTTTTCAAATTAATGTCTGACACGAAATGATAGACCCAGGAAGGTTAGAGAAAATCAAATAGAATAAATGACCAAAAAAAAAAAAAAAAATCCCAAAACCAGCACAAAAATCACACCTAGACATTTCAACTTGACACTATAGAAAATCAATGATAAAGAAAAAATCCTGAAAGAAACCAGAGGAAAGAAAATATCTTACCTATAGAAGAACAAATGTAAGTATTACATCTGACTTTTCAGAACTCATGCAAGCAAGAAGAGAGCAGATTGAAATATTTAAAGTTTTGAGAGAAAAATATATGCCAGACTAGAATTCTGTACCTTGTGAAACTGTCCTTCAAAAGGGAAAGAGAAATACTTTCTTAGACAACCAAAAGTCGAGGGAATTTTTGCCTGAAGACTAAGAAGGAAAATGATGATTCAGGTCATAACTAAGCTCTACATAAAGAAAAAGATAAAATAAAAACTTTTATTTTTCTCATTTTTAATTGATTTAATAAAATACAGGGGTTTTTTTTGTTTTGTTTTCTTTTGTTTTTTTGTTTGTTTGTTTTTTATTCTCACCCGAGGACTATTTCTCTGCATGTATCTTCAGTTATAGCAGGAGAAAGAGAGAGAGAGAGAAACATCGATGTGAGAGAGACACATCAAGTGACTGCCACCCACAAGACCCCAACCGGGGCTGGGGACAAACTGCAACTAAAGTATGTGCCCTTAGCAGGAACTGAACCTGGGACTCTCCGATCTCCAACTGCTGAGCCAAACTGGCCAGCGCTAACAAAATACAGTTTATTGAAAATAATAACAATAGTGTATTCACTTATGTATACTCATGTATATATCTTGTTTGTGTATGTGTATATACATATATGTTTATGTATGCTTATATATAAGTGAGATTATTGACAAGAGTGACACAAGGGGCAGGAAGGAGGAGTTTAGATTATTTTGTTATTTGAAGGATAATACTTGAAAGGGTACTTGGGTTTGTTATAAAGGTCTATTGTAAACTCTAGGACAACTAAAAAAAGAAAAAAAAACAGAAGAAGTATTACTTCTATACTAAGAAATGAGAGAGAATGGAATAATGAAAACCACAAAAGACATATAGGGATGGAAGACAAAAATAGGAGCAAATAACAAGCATAACAAAGAAGAAACTAACAAATATGGTAGATATTAATCCAAATATATCAGTAATTACTTTGAAGGCCAAATGAATCAATTAAAAGACAACAGCATTGTCAGAGTGGATCAAAACAACAAGGCCCACAAGTATGTTGTCTATAAGAAACCCACTTTATATGTATCTACACACACAGATGAATTGTAAATGGATGGAGAAAGATATACCATGCTAACACCAATAAAAAGAAAGCAGGAGTAGCTATATTAATTTCCAACAGAGCAAACGTCAAAAGGAGAATCATCAGGGAAAAAGAAGGGAATTACATAAACTGATAAAGGGGTCGGTTTTCCAAGATAACAATAATCCTTAACGTGTATGTGCCTAACAACATAGCATCAAAATATGATAGAACTGCAAACACTAGTAGACTTGTAAGGAGAAATAGATGAATTCTCTATTTCATATGGAGACTTCAACATCCCTCTGTGAGAAATGATCCAAGAGGCGGAAAATCAGTGAAGACATAATACCATCAGTCAACTAGATATAATAAACATCTGTGGATTATTTCATCCAAGAACAGCAGAATGCACATTCTTCTCAAGCTCACATGGAAGAGTCAACAAGATAGACCACATTAGACCATAAATCATACCTTAATAAATTTTAAAAGAAATAAAATCATGTTGGCTCTGTGACCACAGTGGAATTAAACTAGAAATCAGTAACAGAAAGATAGCTAGAAAATTCCCAAATGCTTGGAGATTAAACATTATACTTCTGAAAAACACATAGATCAAAGAAAAAACCTTAAGAGAAATAAAAAATATTTTGGACTAAGTGAAAATGAAAACAAAACTTATCCAAATTCGTGGCACTTAGCAAAAGCAGTGTTCAGAGAGAAATGTATAGAAATGTATAGCGTATATTAGAAAAGAAGAAAGATCT